CTCTGCCAGGCTCATGGTTATTTGTATCTTGAGCCTGGTAATTAGGAATCATAGGGGAATCATGGGGCCAGAAGGCAGGCTCTGTTTGCATAAACTCGGGAAAGTTCAACTCAGTCTCTTTGGGGTTTGCAGTGGGGAGTCACCAGGGCCAGCTGGTGGCCTCTACTTTACCTGGTGACACACCCTGTGGACAGGGCCCAGGGCTGCCACCTACCCCTCTGCCATCACTGAGAAGCTTGTGTTGACAGACTCAGAGCACACACAGCAGCACAAAACAGAGGAAAGAATGCGAAATTGGAGGGCAAAGGCCCAGATTCAAGTCCTCCCACCTGCAAGCTGTAGGGCCTCAGAAAATTCCCCAGCTGCTGAGTCTCAGCTGCCTCTTTTGGAAAACAGGGATTAAACTCCAGACCCTGCCTGCCTCACAGTGCTGTAACTTCAGAAGGCTCCTATGAAAGCATTTTGCATTCTTTTAAGTCTTCATAAATGCGAGGGGCCACTAATGGACGTGGCTTGGGATCCATCTCCTGAGGCTGCCCTTGCTTGCTAACAGTTGGGAAATAAGTAGGGGTGGGGGCCAGGGGAAAAGGGGTGTGCGTCCCACCACCTCCTTTCGCCCCATGAAGGGTATTTCCCTGTGCTCTGCACGGGCCCATCCTTGCAGCAGAAAAGGCAAATGCTTCGCAGGCATGACCCTGACAGGCCTTTACGGCATTGGCAAGGCCCAGGGCCAGAGTACACACGGAGGCCACTTCCCATATGTCTCATACTTAAAAGTCATAAATCAAGCTAACAAACCGTTAAATGAAACATGCTCTGTCCTCCTACCTTGTTAAGTACATCTTCGGAACAACCTAGAAGGCCAGGAGCAAATTAAGAATTCTGGGTCTCCTTGGTGCCTGTGCCAGGACCCGGCTGTGTCGGCAGAGCACACCTGAGCTATGACCTGCCCCGCTTGCTCTCCCACCCCCAGCTCCATTCATTGTCCCGCGTAGCCTCACACACAGGTGTGGACACCCAGCCCTCGCATTCTCCCACAAAGAGGCAGTCCTCAGCCCCAAGGTACACATGTCTGTGACCCAGGTTGGGAAAGAGGCTGGAAGAGGCTTGGGGCTATTTGGGCAGGACTCCTAGGGCAGGCTAGAAGGAGGGGCGTGTGCACCAGGTGGGCCGGTTCCCTTGGCCCTGTAGACTCTCTGTGGTCGATAGGGGTCCTGCAGGGCCAGAGGGGACCCCTCTTGCCTGGCCTAAGGGTGGTTCACGCTGGGTCACGGCTCCTACTTGTTGGATTACTTAGGCACATCCCTCAGTTTCCTCAATTCCTCACCAAGAAAAGGGAGTGAATAATTCACCCATAACTCAGAGCTGCTGTGAAGCTCCAAAGAGAAATCCTTCCAGGTGGGGACAGGGTGAAATAACCTGGATTTTTCACACACCCCGAGAGAGTCAACAGTGTGTGCCGGAGAGGAGCGGCCATAGAGGCCCCGGCACCAAATGAGTTGGGTGGCCCCTGTAAGTGACTCAAAACAAAAGACAACACGAACTCTTTAAAGAAGTGTAACAACACCCCAACCTGACTTTCCCAATTGCTTTTTTAAACATCTTTCGATACTTAGAGTATCTCCGCCATGCTCATGCCCTTAGTACAGCGGTCCCCAACCCTTCTGGCACCAGAGACCGGTGCTTCTATGAGAATCTAATGCCTGATGAGCTGAGGTGGAGCTGAGGTGGTGATGCTAGCACTGGGGAGCGGCTGCACATACAGATGAAGCTTCACTTGCCTGCTGCTCGCTCACCATCTGCTGTGTGGTCCATTTCCTAACAGGCCACAAACCAGTACAGGTCTGGGGCCTGGGGGTTGGGGACCTCTGCTTTCGCACACAACTAGCCAGAATCATGTCGTGTGTTGTCTAGTCCCCCCATCACCCCACCATGAAAGGAGATGTGGTGGCTTCCTTTTCAAATGTCTTGAAAGAAAGTGACACATCACTGGCCCCAAGGGGATGATAAGGTTTCAATGGCCACAGAGTGTTCGGTTTAGAATCAAGTGACAAACTCACCAGCGAACATCCTGTCTAGTCTGAGCATATGGTTCTCAACCCCAAAGAGTAAGGCCGCCGAGAGCACCTTAGGGGGGCTTCCTTGTTTGTGTCCCACAAATTGGGTGGGAGAGGAAGGATGGGAGAAGAGAGGATGGGGAGAAAGAGGTTGGCTGGGCAACCTCTGGCCAGGTCCTGCAGCCCGCTGTGTTCAGACTCCCTGTACGGCCGGCAAGGGGCTGTCTGAGTGACAGCCCAGGCCCACCCCCCTCTCTGATGTCCTCCCGGTGCTGCTGCTGGCTGGTCCCAGCCTCACTGCAGGCCCAGCTGCAGAGAAGGAGGCCACGAGTGCAGACCTCTGCCTGATTTATTCAGGTCCACTTCTCAGAGGCGTAGAGGTCACCAAGGCTGTTTGAGGGGATGCCCCCCTGAAACCCTGTCCGCTGCCTGCTGTGGAGACGCCAACACTGCAAACTCACCAGGCACCATCCCTGTCAGCGTCGGTGCTGAGTAGCTGCCCTGTCCAGCGGGGGGGACGTGCGGAGGGTACCCGGGGAGGGTCGTGCTCGCCAAGTCGCGGCCTGAGGAATCAAAACAACAAATCACGGGGTGAGCGTCTCCACGGCCAGCCGCTCATGTCCACAGCTCCCCGGACATCTGCACATTTGTCACGTCTGGACGCTGAACACCAACATACCCCCAGCTCCCCATGTCACTTGTGCACAGACACACACACACACACACACACACACACACACACACCCCCCCCCCCCCCCCCCCCCTCCGACAGCACACAATCTGGTTTAAAGAACAATTACTCAAGAAAAACCAGGGATGCCCCTGCTGTGTCCCTGGGAAACTGGAGCTCCAGCCAGCTCACCTTGCTCTCTACTTCCCAAGTAGGACCTGGATTTCTCCACTGCCACACCTTTGCTTCTGCTGTGCCCTCTGCACGGAGCACCCTCTCGTCCAGCCGCACGTGGCCCAAACTCACCAGCCTTCAGAGCCCAACTCAGATGCCTCCCTCCTCTCAAACCGCTACAGCTCTGTATCTGGTCCTGACTGAATTCTTCCTCTTTTAGCCTAGAGTCAGTCACTCATGCAAGGAGGGTATAGAAAGCACCTCCTGATACCAGACACTGATCTGGGCATCGGGACCTGGAGGTTAAGGCCTTGGCCCTCAGAGGCAGATATCCCAGTGACATCCCTCTTTGCAGGCTGCCAGCTCCTGGAGGGGCAGGGTGCCGCTTCATTCATCACCCAGACAACCTGTCTCCGCCACAGGGCTTAGCACCTGGTAGGCTCTAAGTGAATAAATGTGTGAACGAATGGCGCATCCAACTGTTTAGGGAGCAGGACTCTGTGAGGGAGACGCCACTGAGGTTTGTCTGCCTCTGAGGAAAAGAGCAAGGCTACAGCCCTTTCAAACATTGCCAGTTACAGGTATGTATCAAGGTGCTCGTGGGTAAGACCAATAACCCAAACCTTGAGAAATTGGATCATTCTACGATTGTCTGTGAGGCCCTGAGGATGAGACCCACCCTGGTGGGTGGAATTGGCATTTGCTCCTGAAAGAAAGCCATGTACCTATTGTCAGCCATGCTGGGAAGTGGGTGGGAAATGAGGTGGCCTTGAGATGAAGAAGGGAGAACAGAACTCCGACCTCTTCTGGATGTAGACACTGAGGACTGGAGAGATCTGAAGAGGTCCGAGAGTGGAGGGGAGCAGCTGCTGGCCACCACGGAGCCAGGCTGGGCCCAAGAGCTTCCCCTATGGCCCAGCAGGGCAGTGCAGGCAGTACACAGACCGATGACTCTGAGCTCAGCTCCACTAACAGATGGCCCGGGGAGAGGGACCACCTCTTACTAACACATCCAGAATCCAAGCCCATGGGATGAGCCCGTGAACGTTCTCCAGATAGAGGAACAGCATCCCTAGTGCCAGCCATTCAGACGGCCCAGCCAGCATCCAGAGGCTGCTTCCTTTCGCACGGTTCTGCTTCCTTTCCGGAACTTTATGAAGCAGCAGGCAGCTGCCAGGCAGAAGGCTCCCTCCCTGCCTCTGCTCACTACCTCTATGGCTTTGGACTGGGCATCCCGGCTTGTGGCAAGCGTGGCTGACGTCTCTTCACATGAGGCATTGTGACAGGGAAGCAAACGCCCCCAAGACCTCGATCCTCCATATACACTGTATGTGACTCCCCATGAGAGCTGAGATTAAACAGAAAACTGGAGTCGGCAGAACTGAGCACACTTAAAAGGTGATTTAAGGAGTCTTGCCCCCTCCCACAGCTATCTTGTACCTCCGCCTCTCATCCTCCTCCAGCCCGGCACCTACACCCGATGTGGCAGCTCCTCTCTCCACAGAGTGTAAGCTTCAGGATCAAGTCTTTGTACTCCAAGGTCAGAATGGCATAGGCCTACAAACACATTGTTGAGTGAATGAAACAAGTGGCCCTACAGGAGGAGCGAGAACTTTCCGGAGTCCATAATAGTCCTCTGCATCCATGGCCAAGAACCAGTGCAGTGTCAGACTGGTCAGTACATGATCACAGTGCCCGGGGCCAGACTGTGAGACGTGTAGAGAAGGTGGCCATGACTGGGGCTGTCCTGGCCGGCTGGCTCCCCTACCAACCAGTGGAGCAGCAACTGCCTGGACCCCACCTCCAGCTCACACCCTAATGAAAACAAGAACAAACCCAAATCGCTAATGTAGAAATTAAAAAGCACCAGGCTCTGTTCTCAGTATTTGAAATTATTAATTCATTTAAGAGGCTGCCCGGTGCAGGGAGCTCCTGGGGGCCGAACCCCACGAGATCCACATTCCACCTGGCCACTTGATGGAGAAGAGGCTCCTGAGAGGAGAAGGGACATGCCCAAGGTCACTCAAATGGTCTGAGGCAAGGCTGGGCTGGAATCTAGCTCGCCAGCTCCTGGGATTGGGTTCTCTCTTCAATGGGGGGCTGCTCCTTTGGTCACGTCTGCAACCAAACAGTTTCTACCACGGTTACGCATGCTTTAGAACCTTGATCCCTAAAGCAAGGGTTCGAAACATCAGTGCCTCACCAAAGCCTCACTCAACTCAAGAAGCCAGTTAAAAAACAAAAATCAACCTAGGGAAAGGAGGAGGAGGGAATCGATAAAGAAAAAGTGGAAAATAATGAATTAGGGAAACAGAAAAACAGACACAACAATAAATATAACCAAAAATTGTTATTCGAAAAAACCAATAAGATAGGCAAACCTAGGGCAAGATTCGAAAAAGAAGACACAAGTATCAACATAAAGAATCAGGAGAAGATATGACGAGAGATATGGAAGAGATGATGTTAAAAAAAAAAGTAAGAAAATGTGTGGCCACTTGACACTAATAAATGTAGAAACTTCAACAAAAGTTAGGAAATATGAATTAGCAAAATTAACTCAAGAAGAGGTAGAAAATATGAAAAGCCCAATAACCTTAGAAGAAATATAAAAAGAAGTTTTTAAAATTAGTTTTAAAAATAAGTCGCCTCGTCCATTTTGCTTCCTGAACAGTTTTTTTGCTTGTTTTCGTTTTTGGAAAGTTCTTCTAAACCTTCAAGGGGCACATACTTATGTTATTAAACTGTTTCAGGATATGCAAAAGCTAAGAAAATCTTTCCAATTCCTTTTGCCAAACTAGCATAATCCCGATGTAAAAAATTAACAAAGGTGTCTCAAAATGAAAACTAATTTGTTAATATACATTCAAAAGATCTATCTCACTGATCAAGCAATATTAGAGAAAGAATAGTATACCACTCACTCTGAGCATCAGTCTTTCTCAATTTGAAAAAAGAGCTCTTGGCTCAATGATATCCAAAAGCCCAGACTGGCCTGTGTTTGCATACATACAAAGGATAATTTAGAAGTGAGTAGACTTCTCTACCTTAAAGTTCAACTGTACCCACAGCCCTGGAACCTCCACAATCAATCCTATAATGTGGGCTGCTGCCTGGAGAGCTAACAGGTCCTCCTTAGATAATGCCGGGGAGTGCTCGGAGCTTCCAGCCTCAGTGGGGCCTTGTGTCGACTCCAGCGAGGATTCAGGACTTGGCCATCAAGCTGGGTACTCATTCCATCCCCAGTCTCTCCTCCCAGCTCACTGGGACAGCAGTGTGCACAATGAGTAGGTGACCAATGGCCATATATATCCTACAAATAACTCTGTCTCTGAGTTCCCTGTCACTGGGGAACTTCTTTGCATTGTCCATGGCTCCAGTTTCATCCAGCAAATGTCCCTAGAACCAGAGGCTACTGCCTGTAGCTGTGTCTACCTTCCTTGGACTGGCCTCAAAAGCAAAGAGTCTGAGTTATCACTTATGGTGTGGTGGGCAAAGAAGGGAGAGACTGACAGCATCTGTGTCATCTCTGAATGCCTCCTTTCTCCGTGCCAGGCACTGGGGTAGGCAGTTCATGAACACTATTCCATTCAATCCTCACAGCTTATAAAGTGTTCAATAAATTTATGAGACCATGTGGGGAAGTCACAGGGAAGCTGACCACAGCTCAGTATGGAAAGGAAGGCAGTAAAGCACAGCAATTAAGAGTGTCCACTCTGCCCAGTCTTGAATCCTTGCTACACCACTTACTGGTCCTATGGCTTTGAGAGATTTCCTTAATCATTCTGAGCCTCGGTTTCCTCATCTGTAAAATGAGGATAATAATAGCCAACACTTATCTAGAGCAAATAATAGCTAACACTTATAGGGAGGAAACTATGCTTCAGATACCACATACTCACGATCCCATTAGAGAGCTACCATTATCCTTATTTTACTGAGGGGAAACCAAGGCTCAGCAAGGTTAAGTGACTTGCTCACAGTCACACAGCTAGGAAGTAAGAAAGCCAGACCTCGAACTCAGTCAGGCTCACTGGCAAGTCTGCACTCTCCACCCCCACACTGTGCCACATCGGCACACCAGGCATTGCAAGGGGCCAGTGAGAAGCATGTAAGCATGCGGCACGCTCAGCCCCAGTGAGTACCTCTGCAAGACTGAATTGTTGGCCACAGCCCTAAAACCCCACCCTTACAACCATCATCCTGAAAAGGAAGTGGTAATTTAACACCAAAAATATAGGAAAAACATAATATTAAACTTTTAAAAACCAAATACAAATTTAGATTTATGAAAAACTAAAAAGAAACCCTTTTCTATTCCTCTTATTGGAGGCAGTGCGCGTCTCTGCCCCTTCAGTCTGGGCTCAGCCACATGCCTTGGTTTGGCCAGTGGGATGTGAGCAGATATTTGGCAAGCAGAAGCTTGTCATTTGCTTGTGTGGCTGGGTGTGCCCCTCTGCGCTTCTGCCATCACCAAGAGATAGGCCCTGGCTAGCCCGCTATAAGGAGGAAGGGAGGCAGGTGGAGCAGAGGTGGACACAACCTACAACTGGAGTCGGGCCCAGCCCGGATCAGCAAACTCCCAGTCACCAAGCACGTGCAAGAAGAAATGATTATTTTTTTAAGCCCTGAGCTTTGGGGGGTTTTGCTCAGCAGCAGTCTTGTGGCGATAGCTGATTGACACAAGATTTTATAAATGGTATCTGTTTTTGTTTTCAT